CACTAGGGGTCATAGGGTTCCACAGATCTGCCTGAAGCCACATGGGGGTCCATTTGGCTCCACGGGCGAACTAAAATACGCTCGCCACCCAAACCAGGTTGGGATGGGACATTCGCTCAGGCCTTCAGGACATAGTGGTCCGACCATGGCACCACTGTGATCTGGTTCACTGTAACCACAAAGATCAAATCCAGTGTCTGCCCCACCCAGTGAGTGGGGGGAGTTACATATTGGGAGAGTCCCTGTGCTGCCATGGACAACACCATGTCCACCACCTATGTGGAAGCCACATCGTCGGCATGGACATTGAAGTCACCTAAGACTATCAGCCTAGGGTGCTCCAATGCCCAGCCAGACACGGCCTCCAACAGGGACGGTAGGGCATTGGCCAGTGCGTTGGGTTGTCAGCAGTGTTCCCTCTAAGCTGAGTTAGTGTGCGCGAGCTCACAGTTTTTTAGCCTCCGGCTCACACATTTTTGTCTTCGCTCAGGAAGGATGGCTCCAGAGCAAACTAATTTATGCAATAACCAAATCTCTTGCTCACAACTTTAATGACAGTAGCTCACAAAGTAGAATTTTCGCTCACAATACTCCACAGCTTAGAGGGAACATTGGGTCAGTACCAGAGGTCATTTCGGGGGGGAATGCGGGGGATCGCAGTTCCCCCGGGTGAGGTGCAGGGGGGCGGGGCACACGATGAAGCCCCCTGCTTCCGGCCGCCCCACTTCCAGCCCTCATTCAGCCAGGAGGAGGCAGGAGAAGAGGGAGGGTAAATTGCTTCCTCCCCACCTCTGCCCACCCCTGCCTGCCTGGGGCCAGGGAGGGCTTTGGTGGGGCTTCCTCACACTCCCGCCGGCCTGGCAAGTCCACCGCCGGGCCCCTGATGTCAGGGGGTGTGGCATATGCTAATGAGTTATGCTAATGAGTTCCCCTAGCTCTTTTTCTATGAAATGACCCCTGGTCAGTACACCAGCCAAATGGCCAAAATCTCCCTGGCCTCCCACACTAGGCCGGTGCACTCTATGCTGGTGATCTTTGGCAGCGGGAGCACCCTGAAGGAGTAAGCCTCCCGAATGAATAGGGCCACTCCTCCCCCCCCTGCTCCTAGTCTGTGATTGATGGAGAACCGAAAACCTGGGAGGAGCTAGTTGGGAGAGAGCTACTGTCTCCCCATTGTGCACCCAGGTCTCGGTCACACACACCAGGTCTGCACCCTTCTCCTGCAGGAAGTCCCAAAGGACCATGGTCTTATTGTTTATGGACCTAGCGTTATACAACACCAACGTCGGAGGGGGGTCATTAATCCTAGCCCCACTGCCAGCAATCTTTGGGATGCAACGTAGCCTGGAAGAGGCTTCAGATAATCTGTTTCTCAATCCCCTTCCTTTATAACCGTGCCTGGTCCCACTGCCATACTTTCCCCTCCCCAGGAGCACTGGAATCCCTAGCCCAGTCAAGTTCAGAGGAAGAGTCTGGGTGGCCATCCGTCAGCAGATAAAGCTGGGTGTCGTCCACATATTGATGACAACCCAACCTGTACCTCCAAATAATCTGGGCAAAGGGACACACATGGATGTTAAATAACATTGGGGAGAGAATCACTTCCTGTAACATACCACATCCAAGTGAATGCTGCTGAGATATCTCCCCCCCCCCAAAAAAAAACGCCACCCTCTGTCCCCGATCTTGGGGAAAGGAGGCCAGCCACTGCAAGGCTAGTCCCCATATCCTCACATCGGCGAGGCAGTGGGTCAACAGTTTATGGTCATCCATATCGAATGCAGCTGACAGATCAAGAAGAATCAGCAGTGCTGAACTGCCACAATCCAGATGTCTCTGGAGGTCCTCTACCAAGGCAACCAGCACCATTTCTGTCCCATGAGCAGGGTGAAAACTTGCCTGGAAGGAATCCAGGATGTTAGCATCCCCCAAGAAAGCCTGGAGCTGCATTGGCATTGGCATTGGCACTGCCCTATCCACTACCTTACCCAGAAATGGTAGATTAGATACTGGGCAGTAGTTACTAAAGACCAGGGTCCAGAGATGGTTTTTTAGGAGGGGGCGGGCCACTGCCTCCTTTAAACTCCCTGGGAAAGTCCCCGTTGATAGAGACAGGTTGCTAATCTCCCTCAGGGGAGTCCCTACCACATCGCCACAAGCTTTAATTAGCTACAATGGGCAAGGATCAAGAGGACAAGGGGTAGGTTTCACAGCTGCCAAGATCTTGTCAACTGCATCCTGGGTGAGCAGACTGAATGGTCCAAAACTGGACCTGTAGATGAACAACGGGCTTCCAGTTCCCTTATTGTATACAGTGCACCTGGGAGGTTGCAGCGGTGCATCAAGACTTTATCTGCGAATGACTCGCAAATGCCTCACATCCTATCACCAATTCCCTAGCATTTTGTCAGAGACAAAATTATTCTAAATAATTGGGTCGGGCACAAGCTTGCAGACGCCGTGGAAGCCTCATAGAAATCCTTCTTAGTGGCCTTCACTGTCATCTCATAGGTTTTCATAAATGACCTGTGGGATTGTTGGATCCCAAGCATTCAAAATAACTCCACGTTGAAAAGCAAAGCAAGGTTTATTTCAAAGCGTTGGTTTAACCAGAACAGGACATTGTTAGGAATAACTACAGGTAACCAGGGAAGGCATAATATAGACATTTGAACCAGGTAAGGACCAATGAGGCCATTTCCCGCTGGCGGGAATAGAACATACAATTCGCGCTCCTTGCATGGGAACGTAACAGTTCTATAATGTCAACACAGGTTCAGTTCACATGCTAGATACCCAAAACATTCTAGGCAAAGCTTTCCTCCTACAACCAGCTGCACGACCTTGGCGAGTTCCGCGGACTACATAACATAACTCAAGCAAACAAGGAATGAGAGGGGGGGGCGAAGGATACTAGACAGGAACCGGAATGACAATGGCAGCTAGCTGACAGGGATGTTCTTGTACCTTCATGATGGGCTTGTAGCCACTTTCACTCTAGCCGTCTTAGCTCCTGTTTCATCTGCCTCAGCTCCGGTGGATACCATGGAGCCAGTTTGATACAGGGGGCCAGTTTGGTACAGTGACCTCATTGATGGCTTTGGAAAGATGGTTTTGCCAGTCTCCCGCCAACTTATCCATTGAGCCACCAGGGGGAACCGGATCCTGCAGAGCTTCCTGGAACCTAGGGTCCATTTGATTCCGTGGGCAAGCATAAGTCTACTCACTGCCCAAACAGGAGGGGTTAGGAGCGCTTAGTCGGGGCTTCAGGGCAAACTGGTCCAACCATGGCACTGAATCTGCAGTGATCGTCCACTGTGATCCCTGAGGCAAAGGTAAGATCCAGCGTGTGGCCTGGTTAGTGTGTTGGAGCCTAAACAAACTGCATGAGTTCCAGTGCTGTCATGGACGACAGTAGGTCCATGGCCTGAGACAAAGCTGCATCATCAGCATGGATGTTAAAGTCTCCCAAGACCAAAAGCATAGGGTACTCCAGTGGCCAGTCTGATGTGGCCTCCAGCATACCCGGCAGGGCGTTTGCTGGTGCATTGGGCAGACAGTGCAGCCGCCAACTGGCCAAACTCTCCTCTGCATTCCACACCGACCCACACATTCAGTGCCGGCAATCTTTGTCTCAGGGAGTGTTCTGAAGGCGAAAGCCTCCTGAGCAAGCAGCATAAACATAAAGGAGGCGGCCAGACCTCTTAGACCTTTCCGGGGGAAATGCCCAGGCCAGTCTTGTAGCCTGGTGTAAGGAGGAGATGAGGAGGAAAACCAAGGAGGCTGTGAGTCAATTCCACCGTTGGACAGGGAAGGCTCTTCCAGCAGTTCCTTCTGGCAATAAAGGGCTGCCAGACAAAAACAAAACCCATCCCTCCAAGGGGAGAAAGAGGAGCTCTTCCTGACCCAGTAGGGAGGCCAGTCCTCTAGTGTATTCCCATAAGGAGGAGTCTGAGGTGTCTGACGCCTCATCCATTAAGGAAGAGGGGGAACTGTCTGAAGAGGAGGAATCCATTGTTGCTACCATGCAGAGATCTGCATGCCAAACCGCCCCCCAAGGTGCTGTGTGCACTGGAAATTGCTAGCAGCACCAAAGGGAAGGAGGAACCAGACCCAAATTTTCCAGAGGGTTCTGTCAGAACTCTTTCTAAGAGTTCCCCCTCTAGGGTTCCCTTCCCAGCAGTCTTTAACAAAGTAGTTTATACCGAATGGGAAGCCCCAGGCAGACCAAAATCTAACCACCCTCTCATTTCCAAGTTTTGCTCCTTGGTACCAGAGGCAGAGAAGGAATTCAAGCTGCCACTTGTGGGTGATGTGGTAACAGGCCTGTGTTCCAATCGGTGCTCCCTATGGATGTGGAATGTTCTCCCAAAAAAACCTTGTGACAGATGGATCAACGGGCCTTATGCAAGGGGTATTTTTGTGTGTGTTATAGAGCTGGGTGTCCTCTATATTGACGACACCCAAAGCTCCAGACAATCTCATTCAGCCTATTCAGTCTCATATATATCGTTCACTTTCATATATGTAAGTGTGTGTGTGTGTGTTATTTCACACCAAGGGCGAAACCACCAGCCCCCTAATCAGATCACCATCACATTGCCTGGTGCAGAAAAGAAGGCCCAGCATATGTCCTTTTTCATGGGTTGGGCCCATTACAGCCTGAGACAGACTCATGATTGATTATAAAGTCCTGGGCCTGACCCAGCAAGGCAGCCTCGACGCGAATGTTGAAATTCCCAGGAACAGTCATCCTCTGGGTGCTCAGCACCCAGTCCAACATGCCACCTCCGTGGAGAGGGGTGGGAGGCAGACATCAGCGACCATCTCCCTCCCCTCTTGCATAAACAATCATCGCTGCTGTAATCTAACTGTACAGGAAAGCTGTCTCTATGTTTGCTTAAAATGTGAAAGGAGTCACTTGCCACGATGGTTGATCTGTTGGGGCGGGGGGGGGGCACCCACTTTGAGGGCTGCCGATCACTCTTCTTCCTTCTCAGGCCGCAAAATGAAGCCGTTGCTGCCCCGGATTAATTCCTATCTGGTTCCAGTCCAGTTTCCTCTGAGCCAGTCTCTCATCCTTCAGCCTTCCGCCAAGATCCCTCTGCTTGTGTCCCAGAGCATGTCTGAACCTGCACAGAGCAGCAAGCGGGTACGGATCGCTCCAAAGGTCAGTCATGCTAATGGAACGGTAACCATGCCGGATTATTCTTCTTTCCAATGAGACTCCTTAGAACTCTTTTATCTCTAAATGTGTTCACTTGCTGTTACTAAACTTCTGTGTGTCTTAGAATATCCCCAGATTACCTGTCCAAGTCTGTTCCCACCCACCACCCACCCCCTTTCTGGAGCCTGTACTGGTAAGAATTTCATTTCATTTCATTTACATCTCCTTTGCCATTCGCACTCACTGTTTCATCCTCCAGCCTTCTTGGATAGTAAAGTAAATGACATTTAGAAGAGTCTAGTTTAGCCTTGTTTTAGTTAAGAAGGCAATAGGTTTTTATGGCTATTAACGACTTCATCAAATGCTAGTGGAACCATGAGTTGCAAGCCACAAAGTGAGCTGGTGAACTGTTTGTGCAAGAAGGCCAAAAGCGGTGCTCCCTTCTAAGGACTTCTGTGCATGGGGAAATCACAAAATTCTCAGCAACATAAGGACATAAGAGAAACCAGTGTTGGATCAGGCCAATGGCCCATCCAGTCCAACACTGTCACACAGTGGCCAAAACTATCAGATGCCATCAAAAGGTCCACCAGTGGGGCTGGGGCACTAGAAGCCCTCCCACTGTTGACTCCCCCCCCCCCAGCACCAAGAATACAGAGCATCACTTGCCACCGACTGAGAGTTCCTTGTAGCTAATAGCCACTGATGGACCTCTACTTCATAAGTTTATCCAATTCCCTCTTGAAGCCGTCCATGCTTGTAGCTGCCACCACCTTCTGTAGCACTGAATTTCATGTGTTAATCACTCTTTGGGTGAAGAAGTACTTCCTTTATCCATTCTAACCGACTGTTCAGCAATTTCATTGAGTGCCCACGAGTTCTTGCATGGTGAGAAAGGGAGAAAAGTACCTCTTTCTCTACCTGCTCTATCCCGTGCATAATCTTATAAACTTCAATCATGTCACGCCTCAGTTGTTGTTTCTCCAAGCTAAAGAGTCCCAAGCGCTTTAACCTTTCTTCATAGGGAAAGTGTTCCAACCCTTTTATCATTCTAGTTGCCTTTTTCTGCACTTTTTCCAATGCTATAATATCCTTTTTGAGGTATGATGACCAAAACTGTACACAGTATTCCAAATGAGGTCGCACCATCAATTTATCCAGGGGAACTATCATACTGGCTGATTTGTTTTCAGTTCCCTTCCTAATAATCCCCAGCATAGCGTTGGCCTTTTTTTATTGCAGTCGCACACTGTCTCGACATTTTCATTGAGTTATCTACTACGACTCCAAGATCTGTCTCTTGGTCAGTCTCTGCCAGTTTGGACCCCATGATGTATTTATAGTTAGGATTTTTTGCTCCAATGTGCATCACTTTGCACTTGGCCACATTGAACCCCATTTGCCACGTTGACACCCACTCGCCCATCCTCGACATCCCTTTGGAGGGCCTCACAATCCTCCCTGGTTCTCACCACCCTGAACAAGTTCCTGTCATCTGCAAATTTAGCCACTTCACTGCTTACTCCCAACTCCAAATCATTAATGAACAAGTTAATGTCCTTGTGAGCCGCCCTGAGCCCATTGGGGAGGACGGGATACAAATGTGAAAATAAATAAATAAAATTAAAAAGCATCAGACCCAGTACCGATCCCTGCGGTACCCCACTGCTTACCACCTTCCACTGTGAAAATGCCCATTTTAACTCACTCTGTTTCGATCCACAAGAGAACTTGTCCTTTTATCCTGTGACTATTGAGCTTACTTAGGAGCCTTTGATGAGGAACTTTATCAAAAGCTTTCTGGAAGTCAAGGTAAACAACATTTATTGGGTCCCCCTTGTCCACATGTTTGTTCACCCCCTCAAAGAACACTAACAGGTTAGTGAGACAAGATCTTCCCTTACAGAACCCATGCTGAGTCTGCCTCAATAGTTTTTGTTCATCAATGTGCCTACTAATTCTTTCCTTAATAAGAGTTTCCACCAACTTACCCAGTATTGATCTCAGACTGACTGGCCTGTAATTTCCTCTGGAACCCTTTTTAAAGATGGGAGTGACATTAGCTACCTTCCAGTCCTCCGGAATGGAGGCAGATTTTCATGAAAGATTACATATTTTTGTCAGAAGATCCACAAGTT